AAGTTGGTGAAGTTTTTGGTGTCCTTCCTCTTTCAGATAAATTGTGAGCTCTCAGTTAGCATCCTCATTTACACCTAAAATACTCTGGAAAGACGAGGTAAAAAAGAGACTTGAAATTCTTGTGATAAAATGCAAGGACAAAAAGAAGATTGCAGGCCCTTGGCATCCGTCAAGGGAAGGAAAAGAAAGGTGGGACATCGAACTGGAAAGCAGCTCTCTGCGAGCCGTGCAGCGTGCTCTGAAGAGTTATGCCCAGCCACAATTGCAGGCTTGTTGAAGATTAATCTAGTTAGTGACCCAAAGGAAAACACAGAAACAATATGATCAGCTCAGCAGTTCTAAAATAATTTTGGTCTCTATTATGTCATCCTCTTTAAATACCAATTGTTTGTTGCTGGTTCTGTTGCCTATCAGCGCTATTATTAAGAACTGCAATTTGCCAGTTGTTCTTTCCTGTCCTCTTAGCAATAACTTCCTCTCTTTGCATTTCTTCTACCTAAGAGCTGGACATCTGTCTTCCTCCTCATGACAACAAACACGCTCAGAGCTCTTCGTTTCAGTTCTCTGTGCTCAGCTGAAAGCCATGGTGTTTGCTGGGCTTTTCCTTTTCTCCCGTCCGCACCACAAAGCTGCTGCAGTCCTGGGCAGGCCAGATGTGCGGGTGGGCTGGGAATACAGACAGCTGTGGCTCGAGGGGATTGATGGGAACAGAATTCTGAGAGCTCGGTGAAGGTGGATGCTAACAGGAAAACACTCCTTCCCAAAGCGGGTTGGAAAAGTTACTTATTTGCCTGTGAAGTGGGAAGTGACAAGTAAAATCTCCCTTGTCTGCACACCTCAGGTATTTGGTTTTGAGTTTGATCAAACGCCAGAACCCGCTAGAGGATGTTCCTTGGGGCAAGTTGTCCTCCTGCTGTGTTAATCAGTAGTAGAAGGTCATTGATTTATAAACTGTGTAAGCCAATTGTGGTTGTAATTCTGGAAGTATTTTGAGGAAATCATTGAAAAGGCATGGCTTACAAAGTGATTGATGCCTTTGCTGCTCAGAATGGTAGATTTCCAATATAAAAAAAAAAAAAAACCTCCATATTTGAACTCTGACGGTTTTGCAAGATACTTGCTGTTTGGTCCTGTGTCGTCATCATGTGTCCCCTCCCCCATTGAATATTCCTTGATGATCATTTGAAAGTGCTTGAAAAGCACTTGAATTTTGCACTTCAGTTTTCAATGTTCAGGGTGACTATAGTTTAAGCAAGCTTTGCTTTGGAGAAGCATTTAGCCCGAGCTGCCTTGTTCGTGCCTTCCCAGGAGGATTGATCTGGAGGCAATACCTCAGTGCTGGAGAAAGAAACGTTTAACATCACACCCTGAATCCCAGCCACTGAAGCAGAACACGTGCGTCACAACTGTGCTCAGTCCTGTGCGTACGTGTTATAAAAGGCATCTATGTTGGTTTGGTCAGAATTAGACTAAAACTTTTTTGTGCCAATTTTTAGGGACTGCAAAACTTTCAGGAATAATAATGAATTTGAGGCATCTGAATTTTCGATGTTTTGTAGAGATAAATTTGAAGATCTGCAAGTTGTCGTAGCTCTAATTTGGCTTTTCTTGGAAGCAGAGGTGCCAAACAACCACTTACATGGAATCACAGAGTGTCTCAAATGAGGCAGCCAGAGTCCCTTGAAATGCTGGCGTATTTGTGCACCTTGAGCAGAGGCTGGCAGGTATAAGAAAGGAGGATGCTGATGAGCAAGATCTGTGCCGGACCCAAAGTTTTGCGGTGAATGCTCTTTCGTCTGCACTCTGCTGCACAGCTCGACTGAGTGCGGGGCCGATTCAACAACCGGTTTGGGGTTCACAGCTCACAAACGGGCACAAGGCAGAACATCTCCCGATGCCCCGTGGTGGCCAGCTTACACACGGTCACTTCATAACCCCAGCAAGTACGGTCAGGGTCTCTCTCCGTGCCAAGCTAAGGCTCTCTGGGGTTTTGTGTCACGTTCGTGCCCAGTTTGGAATTGCACTTCAGTTCATCACAAATTCGAGTTCCTTCTACCTGAAGGGTGTGACCGCAGAGCCAGCGAGGCTACAAGGGTTGTCCCTTCAGCCTTGAGTCCCCATCACCTTGCAGTCAGAGCATCCGTTTGACTTCCAGCCCAATCCGCTGGATTATTCACAGAAACTCTTTTTTCCCTCTAGCAGCCCAGGTTGTTCAATCTTGAACCTTTGTCAGGGTGGTGGTCTCTCTTTTGTGGGAGATCGTTCCTTTTCTGGAGAGTCTCAGAAGCCAGTCTGAACTTGGGAGACCTGAGATCTTCTTGGCAAAGAGGAGGGAGTGGCTGTTAGACACTGGGGAAGGCACTTTTTTTCTTTTTTCTTTCCAGAGTTTTCTCTCCAAGGTCAGTACTCTTAATTACCACAGGATAATTACTAGTGGACGAAATCCAAGCCCCCGCAGAATGTTTGGTCACCGGGCAGTAACTTCTCTTTGGGCTGAGTTTCACTCACTCTTCAGTTCTGTAAAACACTGGACAGATACTGTGAAGAGCGAGAGATAAAGCAGAGGGGGTTTGTTTGCTTCATTTTTTAACTTGCACAACCTGAAATTTCAGCAGTGTTTGCAAGCAGAGTTAAAAGCCTCTTTAAAACTCTCTTGCTGATGGTGGGATTCATGTTGCCAGAGGGATGCTGAGGCTGGAGGGCAGGATTCATCCCACCCCAAAACAGGTCGCTGAAACGGGACAGATGGGTCACTCCCAAAAGCCCCCTTTTCTCCCCCTCTGCTGCGATGGGGACGGCTCGGCCCTCGGCACAGGCAGCGCTGGGCATCAGGGGCAAAGTGTCCGAGCCTCGTAGTCACTTATGGGGAAGGTTTCCACAGACAAAAACATCTCCACTCCTTCTCTAGGGGCTGGTGCTGGCACCAGGTTTGGCAGAACCAGCTCCTTTGTTCAGAAAGCAAAGCGCTGGATTTGGAGCTTTTGGGGCTCAGGTCTTTTCTTGTTGAGGGGAGACTGGATCCGCCTGCAAGAAACGACCACAGTGACGATAAACGCTGCCTATGAAATTTTAATGCTTAATAGAGCCTTGCTGGATGAGGCATGCATTGTAATGATACCACCCATCACGGGGGAGTTAATTGGCTCAATGAGGTGAGCAGCGGAGCCGTCCAGCATATGCCGAGGGTTTGCTCAGCCCAGTCGTTACCGCCAGACCCTCGTCACTCCCCCCGGCGCGATTACAGCCCTGCGCCGGCCGGGGGATTTGGTGGGAAGTGGCCAATGAGGGGCCAGGCTGGCTCCAAATCCAGCTTCTTGCAAAGCCCCAGATAAAACAGACTTCCATTAATAAGGCGAGAAAGGTTAGGACGAGCAGCATTACAGCAAATCTGGAGAGGTAAGGTGATAGTTTTGTCTGAGGCTTGTAGAGCATATGGCCCCAGCTTTTGTACGCGTAACCCAAGAGCTCGGGTAGTCTGTAAGTGGGGCATTATTTGCATGTCTGCAGAAGCAGAGGTTTATTTGTTGATGTTAAAAAAATTAGATAGCTGGAGACACTTGATAGTGTAATCAGGAAGCTAAGCACAGATTTTCTGTATCTTCATAGCTCGTGTGCTCGTTCCGGGTGATGAATAAGTTTCTTGGGAGTGAAGCTCTGAAAAGTCATTGTAACCTGCCAGCTAGTTTTAGGTTCTGGGTTTTGAAATGGAGATTTGTGGTCAAAAACTGTCGAGGAGCTTTCCACTTACGGAGCTAGACTGTTAGAGGATGCAATTTTTTGATGACTGCTCTTTCTCTCTGGTCAGATCCATGTACAGAAATGGAAATAGAGCAAGTAATTGAACTAACTTAGTTAAAATGAGGGAGATGTACAAAAGTAAAGCTTGATAATGTAAAGCTGAACATAAGATGCATCTATCGCTTTTCACCGTAAGCTTGAGTTCTGTTGCTGTACAAAAATTGGGACGAGCCTTTTAAACTGTTTATGATGGCGTAGGCTGAAGCTTTTCCTAGACGGTGGTAATCTCTTCTGCAAACCACCTTACATCAATGTGACATTTCTTCACCTCCAGCCCTGCCATCCCCTGCTGTTCTTCCCCTCTCCTTCCCATTCCCCACTCCCCCTCCCTGCTTAAAAAAAAAAAAAGAGGCAGCTGTTGGAAAGTGTAGCCCATTTGTTTTATGATGCCGCGTTGGGAATATGATCCAGATCCTACAGGAGAGAGAGAAAGCAACAGAGCGAAAAAGAAGAGGGGGGAGTTTAGCAGCTCTGGAGAATGACTTGCTTATTTTAAGTCTAGTATAGAAAATTAAATCTTTATAGCAAGTTTCAGGGATAAAGCAGAACTGCTACTAGGTCCTGGCTTGGGAATCGAAGAGATTGCTAATTTCATGTGAGTAATTTTACAGCTTGTTGGTTGTTTTGTACAAAATTTCAAGTGCACTGAAATGTCTTTGATTATCCTCTGGTGAGAGGTGCCTGTAGTGAGGGTGTTAAGATCTGAAGACACGTTATGTAGTGACAGCGTGATTCTTATTGGAGTTTATCTTTAATTTACTTTAGCGCTTTCGGTAAAGAAACAAGGTTCTCTTTGGAAGGCACTTCTGTTCATTATTCTGACTCCTGGTTTCAGTTAGTTACAGGGCACAAAAGACACAAAAGCAGAAGAATATGCTGAAACTGGCGGCAGCCAAAACCATTCATAGTTCTGCACCTTGGGTTTCTGCCAAGTAATTAATGGAAACTCAAACTATTTATTTTTGTTGTCAGGTCAAAAAATCCACTCCTCCTGTCAGCCCCTCTTATTCCTAGAGGGAAACGCCTAGAAAAATCTAAGAAAAATCCAATTGCTGTTCTAGGAAATGGCTGTAGTACAGGTAGGATGCATCTAAAATGTTTTTTTTTCAGCAGGAAGGGGTGGTGTTTCAGCAAGCTGGTCGGGCCAGCTCTCCTGCCCTTTGGTAAAAATTTTCTTGCTCACTCCTGGGGACACTGACTGGATGTCTGCTTCCTTCCCTCCGCAGCTGTCCATGAAGGAGGTCGGAGACGGGCTGCACGAGCAGATGAACTGCATGATGGGCGCCCTGCAGGAGCTGAAACTCCTCCAGGTCCAGACAGCCTTGGAGCAGTTGGACATCTCAGGGAGCCGAAGCACCGTTTCTGGCACTGAGCAGCACCAGTGCTGCCGGAGCAGGAGAGACGTGCGCAGGGACCGGCACGACGAGCGGCTGCGAGGGCAGGCGTCGGTGGCAGAGCACAGCCCCACATCCCTGGCGTGTGCCGTGCCACAGCCGGCGGGTTTGTCCCATCCTGCTGCGCTCCCGGAGAGCGGCCACCTTAGAGACGCCCCCTCCTACATCAGCAGCCTCTACGATGAGGACATTTATCACCCAAAAGGGCCTTCCTCCGCGTCCATCAGAGCAGAGCGTGTCCGCCCAAGCACATTCGAGCCTAGTAGCCAGGGCACAGCTGGGGGATGGCCAACATGCCAGGAGTGCCCAGGGTGCGATGATGGCCATGACTGGACATCCTCCCTCATGTCCCAGAGCAGGAACCGGCAGCCGCTGGTCTTGGGGGATAACATCTTTGCAGACTTGGTTGGGAACTGGTTGGATCTGCCGGAGCTGGATAAGAAGGGGGAGAAGAGCGAGGCGTCCCTGTCCATGAGCAGATCCCAGGAGCTCTGCAGGAAGTTCTCCCTCACAGCCAACATCTTCAAGAAGTTCCTGAGGAGCGTTCGGCCAGACCGAGACAGGCTTCTCAAGGAGAAACCTTGCTGGCTTCCACCTGAAGACAAACAGCCTGAAATTTCTAAGAGATCCAAAAAGATGAACAAACTCAAGGGGACATTTTACTTCCCACTTCATGGGAACATCCAGAACCATCACAGCAAAGCGGAGAGGTGCCCAAAGGCAGAAAGCAATAGCGAGAAACCCAAAAGTGGCACCAAGAAAGTCCACGGTACCATAGACTACACCCAGTCTGGGTTTGACATCAATACAGCTGTTTGGGTCTGAGTTTGTCGGTGTTCTCAGCTCTGCTGAGCATTTGTTTCACACTGGAGAGGAGCTGGCAGTCGTACACGTCCTTTCAGGAGACCCCTGAGCTCTCAACATGACCCAGATGAGAGGAGTCCTCTGCAAAACGTGCTGTGGGCTTCAGTTGCCTGCAAGTAGCATTTTCCAGAGAACTACGGCTTCAGGGGCACTCCAAGCAGCAGCTGACGCAGCCCCACGCGGGGAGGCTTTGGGGGAACCAATATTTGCAAAAATCATCAGAATCTTTAGCAGCTTTAGGGTGAGCGGTGCCACGGATGACCAGCTCCCGGAGCCCAGCGTAGGACAGCCACTTCAGGCCCACGTCATCATCTCTAGTTAAAATAGCTGCAGCACAAAATCCACCGTGTGCATGCGTGTGTATGAGTGTGCAAATATATATATAGTTTTTTAAAAAAAATCTATTCCTGCTTGTGTGCACTTAAAACTGGGTTATAAACCAGGCGATTGAAGCGTTGTACCTGAAGCACTTGTTATTTAAGTTGAAAGGAATAAGTTTGAATTTGAGACTTGAACAATTGCTAAGGGGGGGTGTTGAACCCCAGCTTTGTTGCATTTCAGCTGTGGGGTTTTCCCCCTAAACTGCATCTCCGTTACGCTCCCAGCATCTCTCCTTCCACTGCCAGTTAAACCAGTAGGACGCAAGGCTTCTTTTGTGGAAGTTTGTGACCCTCAAGTTCTCCGTCGGTTTCGCCCCTCTGCCCCCAGGTCGCACCAGGTACAATGTTGCAAAAGTTTATTGTTGAGGTCCTGCCAAGATACAAAGTTGCAGCAGATGTTTATTGTTGTTGTTTCCTATTGCTGTTGTGTACAAACCTCCTCCTGACAGAGCCAAGCTCTTCAGTGTCCACCTCTCCCAGAGTCACCAATAAAGTGGTATCAGTCTCCAGCGTGCCGGGGGCCGTCTCCATCCCGGGGCAACCCTCAGTCCTGCTTTCCTCCAGCACAGAAGCTTCTGGGTTTTCGCCGTCATGAAAACCCACCCGAGCAAGGACGAGAGGCTCGGCTGGCGTGGGTCGGAGCGGGAGCGCGTGCGGTTCGTGCCAGCCTGACCAGGGAGTTTGGGGAGCCGCCAGGAGAGTTTCCATTCAAGGAGAGGTTATAAATCACGGCAGGGAGCAGAGCCGCAGCCAGAGGTCCCTGCCAGGGTCCCAGCGCTGCTCCGGAATCACGTCCCTCTGCAGCCCATCCACATCCCCAGAGCCTTCAGGTAATGCTTCGACGTTCCTCTGCCTCCCCCAGCACAGGGAAAGGCAGAGGGAGAAATGTTTGGGGGAGAAACTGCTGCTGAGGGAAGGGCCTCAGCTCGTGGAGGGGAAGGGGGCCGTGCGGGTCCTGCCCCACCTCGGGTCCTCTCCTTCCTGGCTCCAGGAGTTAAACGTGATCCAGACGAGTCCCTGGCAGCTCCCTGAGCCGCAATCTCAAGGGCGCGAAGACAGCGCAGAGCTTCTCGATTGCACGGCAGCCCCCGTTCCCATTAACCATGAGCCCCACCAGATGCTTCGTGTGCGCAGCAGTGTTATGTTGCAAAAACCTGTTCCGCTCACTCCAAGTTTAGGAAGGGCTTATATGTGAGCAGTAGTAGTATTTTTTTTTTAAACACGCAATTCTATTCCTGTTGTAACTTCCCAAGACAGAGAGACCAGTGGAGCAGAGGCATGGAGTGAGAATTTTTTTTTCCCCTTGCAAATTAAATATAGGCACAAGACAAGCCCCGTTTCTGCCCATACAAGGAGAGGAGCAGGTCAGCATCCGAAGGCTATGCTCAGCACTTTTTCAGGAACCTGAGTTGCAAGCAAGCTTTTGTTTTTCCTCCTGATAGGCTTTGGGTCTGGTGATTTTCCCTCCTGCTTCATTTCTCTGATTGCTGAAAGGCTGTTTCTAAAGCATTTTGTTTCCCTCCTCTTTTATCAGTAGTTCATCCTGTTTGTTACAAATACGCCCTCCCAGCTCCCACCAACCTTTCCACAGGGGCAGCAAAGAGGAGAAGGAGCTTTCTACAGTCAGTAGCACAAGAGAGGGAAACAGCTTTTCCTGCACCAACCTGGGTCCTTGGAGAGCGTGGCCTCACCCCAGGGCTTCCCTCTGCCCCGGCACAACCCGGGGGACCCAGCCCACGGCCGGGCTGACAGTGGTGGGGAGCACCACGGCATTGCCCCACAGCCCCCTCGTCCCCAGGAGCACGTCCCAGCCGTACCTGCCTGGCACCGAAGGCTGAGTCCCACGGAGAGAGAGACACCGCGCTGGATGGGGAGGGGCTCTGGGGAGCTGAGCACCCACACCAGGGGCTTTTTAAGGTTGTCACTGAGCATTGCCCTCAGCTGTGATGAGTGGTGGGCAGCAAGGAAGGGCCAGGCTGAGCACGGTGGGGCAGGGGCAGGGCCATGGCGATGCTTCGGCTGAGAGATGAGGGGTCCAGTTCTGCAGGTGGTTACCCCCCCCCAAGGCCATGTATTATCCAGGAAACGGGATGTGTTTATGCAGGAGACGGGGAGATCTGGAGCGTAAAATGCACATTGGGAAGCTAGTCCGTGGGAAAAGCGGTTCTCGAGGATTTGCCACCCCCGTCCAGCCCCCACCTCCAGCACCCTGCGGAGGCTCTGCAGCCCAGGGCTTTGTAAACTCAGACCCACTTTGCCAGCACACGTGGTCCCTTGCAAATGCTGGATCCCCCACCCCAGCAGCTGTCGCGGTGCCGCTCCCCCCATCGCGGGGTCTCGCGAGGAGCTGCCGGGAAGTTTCTCTTGAGAACGAGTGCTTCTGGCCCCACGTGCTCCCGACAGCTGCCCTGGCCCACGGGGCAGCACAGGATCATCCTGCCCCTGCACGCTCGCACCGCGGAGCTGCTCAAAGATCAGCTGCTAAACCCAGCCTTCTCTGTCCCCGCTCGGAGGAAACGCCATTGTTTCTAGTTTCACGTGGAAAGGGCAGACCTTGGCCCCAGCTGCTGCCCACGTGTTCCTTTCCCACCCAAAACAATTGCTCCTGCTGCAGCCAGCATTGCCCAGTCTGTGCCCGCTCCCACCCAAATGCCAGGCGGTGGTGGGGTCAGAGCCCCCTGGGGGGTCCCTGCCCCCCCGGCACCCACTGCTCCCCCCGCCGCTTCTGCCTGCAGTGGCCAGCGAGGCGAGCGTTCAGCGTTGGGGACCACGAAGGATGAACGCTGGCCAGACAGAGGTGGTGACGGTGGTTGCTTAATGTCTTCTTTTTCCGAAGGAACAGATCCTGACCGGAGCACTCTGCACAGACAGCTGACCAAATGCCCAACATAGTTTCAAATGTATTTATGTTCTCTCTGCCTTTTAAGTGTATCTTCAAAGGATGTTTTGCATCAAAATAGGATGTTCCAGAGTGTTCGCAGTGACAAATTCGGTGTGACGTAGGCTTCAAACAGCCACTTGAAAATTGCAAGTAAATGTAACTGGATCTCAAAGTTCTTAAGAGAAAAAAATATTTAACAGATATTCTTTAAGAGGCATTCAAATAATAAAGAATATCAGCCAAGCCAGACACCTCACCTAATTTAGTCTCCAGAGCAGGATCTGCTACTAGATCAGGGTAGGATTTGTGAATTACCATTTCACTTCTCCAGGGACTTTTCCTGAAATTATAATGGCTTTTTCTCCTCTTCTTTTCATGAAACTGCCATGAAATAGTTCCCCATTATTAAGTATGAAACCTACCTAATTAGCACAATGACAGTCTTTAATGAGGCCCTGGCTGTGTTCTGCGTCTTTGAGAGGAGTGGTTAATACCAAACACAGGACAATAATTATAGAAACACGTTCCCCTGTGAACTTGCCCCGTGGAAGGCAGCAGTGGCAAATGAAGCCTGGGCATCCAGATTTACTAGAAATCTCTTCGTGGGCTATGCTAAGCTCCGACGGGCTCAAGTGCACCGGAGTTAATTTGAGGCCAGTAACACTCGTTCAGACACCGGGGATTCAGACAGCGGCACCGGGGAGCTGCTCTTGGCTGGGCACCTGGTATTTGCAGGCTGGGAGCCAGCTGAAGTCCTGCGAGCGGCTGGAGACCCCCCTGGGGCTGGGTGCTCTTGGGGACCCAGGGTTCCCATTCTGGGGGGTGGCCGGGCTCCTGCTGGGCCGGGGGCTGGATGAGCAGCACAGCCCGGCCCCTTCCAAAGCCCACATCGCACAGCCCCATGTCTCTGCCACTGCCGAGGGGATCCAGCACCTATCCATTGCAGTGGTGCTGGATCTGGCCCGTACAGCTTAACGCATAGAGAGGATTTGGCTCTTAACATTAACAGAGTGCTTTTCCAGGGGCCGCTCCTGACGCTGCCTCCCTGGGCTTTCCCTTCCCCGCCAGCCCCGACACTGACACCCCGCCCTTCCCGCCAGATGGTTTTTTTAAGGCTCACAAATGTGCCTGTAATTAAGAAGCCTTTATTTTCAAAACCATTTCACAGCTTACTCTCCTGACAATGGGATGGGGCTTCTTAGGCTAATGCTGGGCAAGAGGAAAGGAAAATACCGGCTGTTGGCTGCTGCCCGCCGTGTTTTCCTTTCCCACTGACACGGGGTATATTTACTATTTACCCGCTGCAGCCGAGGGTCCCACTCGCCCTGCAGACCCGCAGCGTTGCGGGGGCCTCCGCAGGGCCAGCGCGCGTCGTCCCTCACGGTGCCGGGCTCTGTCCCCGTCAGCCATCCGTGCGGATGTGCCCAACGAACCCGAAAGGCTTTCTGACTGGAGACTGAGCACATTTAACAATTTCCCCTCAATTCACCTCGTTGGAAAGGAACCAATTGCCACATCCTTGCTGAAACAAGATCCATTTTACTCAAATCCAGCACTGTTTTATTCACTCCAGCACATTCCCAATCACCTCGATCCCATTATTAATCAGCAGCAGAATCTCTTCTACTTCAAGCAGCGTTTCTAAAAACTGGACCACGCTCCTTTAGCATCCCTGTCTCTGCAGAAAGAGGCTGTATTTT